TAGAACTAATACTGCAAGTAGATATGGTGGTTTCAGAAGGTCCTACAAAGAAGAGGGATTATTCTAATTCCAGATGCTTCTTGTTCCTGGTGAGAATATGCAGAATGTTTTTATAAGCCAGGCTCCATAAGCACATAGGATAGGAAGCATAGAGCACTGTGTTCAAATGAAAGCATAAGAGGAATGTTGGTCTCTAGAATGCTGGAATCAGATCGGAGGACAAGAGCCAAGTTTCTGCTCCTATGAAAGGGATCGTAAAACCCATAAATGAGCAACCTCGATTTTCCAAAAATAAGAAAAAAGGTTTTTCAAATGAAGTGCTAAAGAGTATCAAAACTTTCTCTTCACTCTTTTTAGAATGCGTGACCTCATCACCGCATGCAGTTGCACATTCACACCTAAGCACAGTCACAAGGAAGAGAAAATTCAGCGTTTTTCTTCTTGCTACTGTTATCAGCCTTTGAGAAATGAACTGAATACTCACAATGCCAAATATGACCCTGTAGTATAGAGTGATGGTGATAATGGGAGGCTGTATAAGATGAAGAAAATAATGTAATCTTTTATCTACAACACATGGTTTGGTTTTTCAGTACCCACCCCACTGACAGGGGCTTCCCTGGTGGCTCAGATGGTAAAGAATCTGCCAACAATGCAGGAAACCCAGGTTCGATCACTGAGTTGCAAAGATTCTGTGGAGCAGAAATGGCAACCTGCTTCAGTATTTTTGCCTGGAAAATCCCATGGACAGAGGAGCCTGGTGGGCTACAGTTCATGGAATCCCAAAGAATCAGATATGACTGAGCAACTAACGCTTTCACACTTTCCACTGACAGATGTATTGATTAACTAGATTTTTGAAGCAAAAATGTAAAGAGGAAGTTGTCTTCCTCTCTGGTGGTGTAAAATCTAAGAGATAGGAGCATTTCTGTGTTCAGTGCCACCCCCCAGAACTCAGAATATAGTGGGTATTCAACAGATATTTGCTGAAAGAATGACTAGATAGTAAGTTATCCGAATATGCTAATTTATTTTTAAAAATAATAACAAACAGCATCTGTTTTTGCTCACATCGTAATGAGGAAAAAACTTTCTTTTTAAACTATTGTTACCAAAATATCTAGTTAGTATATATATTAATATATATACTTACATATATAATATATATAATACTAGATTATATATACGTGTATATGTGTATCTATATATACATACATATATCTATATAATCTTCCATGAAGGCAGGGATTTTTATCTTTTTTAGTAAGCTGCAGTGCTTCCAGCTCTTAGTATCATGCATGGGACATAGAAGACATTCAAAACATTGGTTGAATGAATTATTAGGCATATGTTGTAGAGGAAACATAGTGATAAAATTATGGACCTCATGTCAATGTCTGCTTTCTGGTTTACATCCCAAATGTAGGCCTAATTTGCTTGATGACCTAGAGGAAATGCTGTATAGGGTATCTGACCTATTCACGCCCTTTCCTCTGCTTTGAACACAGGGAATCTCTCTTTTTTCTGTGCCAGGGTTCCCATAATGCTATGAAAACCTAGTTTAATACAACTGCTTTGTGGAGAGTCTTCATGATTATTCAGATTTCAATCCTCATCCTGCTTTACTCTATGCAGTCACTGTATGAGATAATAATTGACATGATTAGAGTGTTAGGAAAACTTTATCTAAATTTACTGAGACTTTCCCTTCTGCCCTACAGCTGTCATTTCTTGTGATATCCCACTATTCATTGCTTCTCCTTTCAGACCTGGCCTTTCACTGGGTCTGAGAGTTACTAGTGACACTCCCACCCCCTCCCGCACCCACTGCTTGTCACTGTTAACTGTGTTATATGACAATTTCTCTAGATCGAAGGTTCTAACTGACTCATAATCACTCTATGTAACCCAAGAGATGATTTATGCAAGTGGACAGAATACTGATCTGATCACCATGAGACCTCACTTCTGGAAAGAGCTCTGCCAGTTTTGTGAGCTTGGGCTACTCAGTCTCTCTGAGATTCCCTTTTCTCATGTGAGGATTTATCTAGATCATTGTTTCTACATAGATCTACATATATGTCTTTCAAAAATATTTTCTGAGGTCACATTCATTTGGGAATTGCTATGTGTATACTTCGTGGGGCTTCCCAGGTGGCTTAGTGGTAATGAATCCATCTGCCAGTGCAGGAGATGGAGGAGACATGGGTTCAATCCCTGGGTCGGGAAGATCCCCTGGAGAAGAGAACAGCAACCCGCTTCAGTATTCTTGCCTGGGAAAAATCCCATGGACAGAGAAGGGGGTTGAAAAGAGTGGGACACAACTGAGCAACTGAGCACACCTACACACACCCCCACACACCCACCCACCCCCCTTCACACACACACTTTATCACCTACTTGAACATTAGCAAGTTGAGATGCTGACAAGTCCTGAAATAAAGGAAATAATTTACTTGGTAATTGACTTTCATTGTGAGGAGAGGAAGCATCTTGGTAGTTCCTTTGAAATTTATGAAGGAGTCCCAGTTGAACTTTCTAGAAGTCTTGGCTGTAATGACACATCCCTTTATTTTCTATGCTAGTTACTGTGGGCATAGAGATAAATATCAGGATCTTGGCCTTTCATGCATAAAAATCAATGTTATAAAGGATAGTGATTTTAGACTAAAGATTTGTTCAAATTTTAGTGGCATAACAACTGAGAAGCAAGGAGGTCTTCCCAGAGTAGGGGCAGTGGATAAAGAAGAGATTTCCATAGGTGAAATGCCATTTAAGCTGAGCACCAAGAGGTGGCTGCAATAACTCACCGAGTAGGGCTTGCTGCATGCTGTTGCTTCAGTCGTGTCTGACTCTTTTGTGACCCCATGGACTGTAGCCCACTAGTCTCCTCTGTCCATGGGGATTCTCAGGCAAGAATACTGGAGTGGGTTGCCATGCCCTCCTCCAGGCGATCTTCCTGATCCAGGGACCCAACCTGAATCTCCTGCCTTGCAGGCAGATTCTTTACTATCTGAGCCATCAGGGAAGCCCTCATCAAGTAGAGGAGGTAGGAAAGAATATTCCAGGCAGAAGGAACAACATGCACAGAGGCATAACATCCCCAGGTATATGCTAGGTCTGTGAGATAATTCTGAGGTTATGGAGTCTAGGAGTGGAGGTTACTTAGGGAGAGAGGAGCAGGAGAAAGTTCGGGGAGATGTTTTAAGTCTCATTCTGTGAAGTCTGAAACGTATCCTGTAGGTAACAGGAAGCCATCCTTAGAATGGTCTTTAATCAGGGAAAGTACATGGCAATACGTATTTTACAAAGGGAATTATGGAAAGACAAGAGAAAAAATTCTGGCATGCTAAGACAGATTGGAGAAGGATGAGACTGATAGAAAAACAAATTATGATTTTATTGAAATGTTTCAAGTAAGAGATGATAAAAAGTTGAATGACAGTGGCAAAGGATGAGAAGTAAGAAACAGGTTTGAAGGCAATTTAGGAGTGCAACAGACTGTGGGAAATGATTGGATATGAGGCAAAAAAGAGGAATACAAAATGACTGTGTAGCATTTGACCTGGGCAAATGGTGATTATCAAATTTACTAAGACAGAAACAGTGAGTTATTTCATATAGATTTTGTATTGGACTGAGGATTCTATTACACAGAGTAATTTTCCTATAAACACACACTCATAAATTTTCTTTTTGTTTCAGGGTTCAGTAGCAATTTAACCAAAGACTATATAAACATATACATATTAAAGGAGATTCAGCATCCACAGAAAAATCTATTTCAAACTGAAAGTTGATAGGTACTCTCAATACATTCTTGTCAACAAAACAGCATTTTAATCTATACATTTCTTTTGATTTTACCTTTAAATGATAGATAATCATTTCTAGGACTAAAATCCATTTGTTTTTCATTCAGTCAACAACTCTCTTCTTTCAGCGGTGGATAGTTCTGTATACATTTGTATCTCAGTAGAAGTTTGTGAAGTTATTTTTATTTTCTAGGAGAAAACAGCTCAGGACACCAATAATTTCGTGATCATTTGAATGTTAAGCCAGCATTTTCGTGTGTGAGTGCTCAGTTGCTCAGTCATGTCCTACTCTATGTAACCTCATGGACTGTAGCCCGCCAGGCTCTTCTGTCCATGGGATTTCTCAGGCAAAAACACTGAAATGGGTTGCTATTTCCTCCTCCAGGGGATCTTCCCAACCCAGGGATTGAACCCACATCTCTTGCATCTCCTGCACTGGCAGGCCAATTCTTTACCACTGTGCCACCTAGGAAGCCCTGTTTCACATGGGAGGGTTTCATAAAATGTTCTGTGGTCCTTGTGTCTGTGTGTAATAGAACGACATTAAAAGGCTAAGCAGAAGCTCTATATGTATGTCCCCCACACTGCATGGGACACATTTATACTAANCCAATTTCCCTTAGCAGCAATGCATTTAAGGCAGCTTCATGGAATTGTTTTGAATTAAGTTTTGAAGATTTGGAAGGCAGGTCTAGGTAACAGTTGTTCTCACTCTTCTGGGGTTAAGGATAAAGGATTGCTGTAGCTAAGCCTGAAGAATTTGCAGATTTCTAAATGCATTTTGTTGCATCGAGAACAAGCTTTGTACTCTTGAGAAAAGGCAGTGCAAAAATGAGGTGACACAATGTCCCTTTATCTCAGGGCAAAATGACCTGCTTTCACGGTAGTGGAAGTAGGGGCAGGGGAAGTCAGGCTGTGCTGTCTGAATCCAGCAGCATTGTGGCATGGCTGTGCCCTTCTGTCCCTGCTCCAGCCCCTCTCCCTTATCCTAGCAGTTACTTTAGGGGATGCAGTTTTGGAGAAATGATCATAAATATTCTGACCTAATACCCCAGGAGCCTTGCAAGCAAAAGAACACACCTGCCTAGAGATAATCCTTGTGATATTTAAATGTGTGGGTTAATTTTTTTTATCCACTTTAATAACCAGATTATCACTCTCCCCTCTCCACTTCTTTGCTTTCTGTTTTTACTCTGAAGCTGTGAGTGCAGAAATCTCTGTTGGCAAATTACTCCAGAGCCATCACAGAACAATCCTAGAAGAAAGAGTTAAACTCACAGAATCAGGATTCCTGATTCTTTTCCAACATGGCAGGTGTAAACGTCTGTATAAAATGTTCTATGTTTATCTTCAACTTTGTGTTCTGGGTAAGTGTTTTTTTTTTAATTGTCAGTTTTATGCAAGAAACAGGATCTTGATACAAATTGCATAAATGAGAACAGACTGCACTAGAGAAATAAGAGGAGGAGGAGAATATATTTTCCATTTACTTGTTTGAACATGTTTGTTCTTTCTTTGGTTATTTCAGTAATTGAAAATGAGACAATGACCCCAAAAAGTGCACCTCAGGTTCTGTGGGGATAAACATTTCATAAATGTTTTGATATTGTTATAAAACAATCACAGAGGAAAAAATATCCCTTAACTAAAGGACAGTTCTTAGTTGTACATCACACAGTCATCGTCAGTTTAAGGACTCTGTGAAAAATCTGATCTGATTCCGCCTGGAGCTCAATTCCATAATTCTAACCTTTACACCTGGGGTTGAAACAGGTGAATGGTAGAGTGTAAAGACATCAGAAGAGGATCATTTTCAAAGGTCCAAAGAAGAAACAATGGTCTTTCTAAACTTGAGAGAGAAACAATAAAATTATTTATTCATGGAAAGATTAAACTACCTCACTACTTTTGAATCAGAAATTTAAAGCTAGTATTTTGATGTATTATCACCTCATCTTTTAATCAATAAAGTTTGTGTTTTAGCCAACTCTTACATTTCTCTTGAAAGTCTACTGACATAAGAAATAACAGATTGATAAGCAGCATCTAACATTGAAAAATGGAAAAATGAGGTATGGATTGGGATGTTAGAAAACTGATGTTGTCATTTTGATATAAATGGTGCCATTAAGATTGTTTAATCTTCACGATGGTGTGATCACTCACCTAGAGCCAGACATCCTGGAGTTCATCAAGCCTGTATATTGTCACCCTGCTTATTTAACTTATATGCAGAGTACATCGTGAGAAATGCTGGTCTGGAAGAAGCACAAGCTGGAATCAAGATTGCCGGGAGAAATATCAATAACCTCAGATATGCAGATGACACCACCCGTATGGCAGAAAGTGAAGAGGAACTAAAAAGCCTGTTGATGAAAGTGAAAGAGGAGAGTGAAAAAGCTGGCTTAAAGCTCAACATCCAGAAAACTAAGATCATGGCATCTGATCCCATCACTTCATGAGAAATAGATGGGTAAACAGTGGAAACAGTGTCAGACTTTATTTTTGGGGGCTCCAAAATCACTGCAGATGGTGATTGCAGCCACGAAATTAAAAGANACAGTCCAACTCTCACATCCATACATGAGCACTGGAAAAACCATAGCCTTGACTAGACAGACCTTTGTTGGCAAAGTAATATCTCTGCTTTTTAATATGCTATCTAGGCAAAGAGTTGACTCACTGGAAAAGACCCTGAAGCTGGGAGGGATTGGGGGCAGGAGGAGAAGGGGACGACAGAGGATGAGATGGCTGATGGCATCACCGACTCGATGGACATGAGTTTGAATAAACTCCGTGAGTTGGTGATGGTTACGGAGGCCTGGCGTGCTGCGATTCATGGGGTCACAAAGAGCTGGATATGACTGAGAAGCTGAACTAACTAACTGAAGTCAGTATAAATAGCCCAAAATGCTTAAATTAAATAATTGTTTTGTGTACTGTATTTAAAAATGACTTATACAGTATAAGCAGAAGAAAGTTCTGTTTTTTTTTTTCACCTGGTAAATAGGCAGTTGGTATCTACATGTTGGTAAATTTCTATTTCCTATTAAAATAATGATATTCTTAATTAAATTTAAGTAGAGGCATACAGTCTCACTGCCCAGAATGACTTTCAGTGTCAGTAGTCCTAATGAGTACAAGTGATATATTGGTAAAGTAAATAAGAGAGAATATAGATAAATAGAATAGAGTAAAGAAGTTTTGTTCTTTGTGCTTCCTCTTTTCTTTAGAAAAATGGGCTGCTTTTGCAAATACTAAACAAGGCACATGAATATATGCCAGATTTTAGAAGTTTGTTCTGATAAATTTCCTCCCTTTGAAATATTTAAAATTGATTAAATATTGAGAGTAGAATATAAACAAAGAAATGCCTATCTACTTTGGCTGGCTTTGCTTTTAAGTTTTTATTATGGAAAACCTCAAACATTCACAAAATAGAAAAGGGTAATCAATCCCATCAGCCGAGCCCAAGAGCCATGAAACCATGGCCAGCCTTTGCCCCTTGATATTCTCAAGTACTTTCCCCTCCGCATATTATTTTGAAGCAAATCCTGGATATACCATTTCATCTGTAAATACTTTAATGTATATCTCTAAAAGATAAAGAATTCCCTTTTTAAAAAAATTCAACTATCACACTAAATTAATAAGAGTTTTAAAATTGCTTATCAAATATCTATTCAAGATTCAAATTTCCAGTTCCTCACAAATGTTCCTCTTTGAATCTGAATACAAAGTCCAAACACTGTGATGGGTTGATATATCTTTTATGTCAGTTTTCATCTTTAGGTTCTCCATCTAGGTTCATCTCCCCCCCTCCTCTCCCAGAAATTTTATATAGTTGCGTGTTTGGTTTGTCTTATATTTTCCATGATCTGGATTTTGCTGTTTGCATATCCATGATATAATTTAATGTGTTCCCTTGTCTTCTATATTATCTCTAACTTAGTAGTTGCATTTGGAAATTTGATAAGATTCAGGTTATTATTTGGGGTATATAGGGGATAACTAATTTATAAGTGATATTTTGTTCTTTCATCAAAAGGTATATACTGTCTGACCATCTCACTTTTTGTGATGTTAGTAACTATTGGTGCTTAAGAACCTAAACCTGTCAGTTCATTAACCGTCTCAGAATGGTGATATCCTATATCTATTATTCCCTTTATTTATTAGCTGGAATAGTTTCAGCAAGGAGAGATTTAGCATTTACTAATTGGTTAACATTAGTGCCCAGTTTTTATTTTTTAAGAAAGGCAGCATAAATGTTTTTATTCTTTACTCAACAGATTTCAAAATGATGAGTTAATTTTCTGGTATCATACAGCAGTAATAAGCAAGTAGCTTTTTAAATATCCTTAAAAATAATAAGAGTTAGGGACTTCCCTGGTGGTCCAGTGGTTAAGACTTCACCTTCCACTACAGGGGGTGCAGGTTCGATCCCTGGTCAGGGAACTAAGATCCCACATGCCTTGTGAAAATGAAAACATAAACCAGAACCAATATTGTAACAAGTTCAATAAAGACTTTAAAAAAAATAATAGAGTTAAATACTATCACCATTCTTATCCTCACTGATGTGTAATTTATTCCATTTTTGGCAATGGGAGCATCTTCAGTTTGGCTCCTGAGTCCTTTCTACATGGCCCTAATATCTTTGATAACTTCTTCACTATTTAGGATGATGAGATGTTCCAGGCTCACTTTCTTGTTTCCTGCCCCAGACCTGGAATCAGCTATTTCTCCAAGAAGTCCTGATACCTGTTTTTAAAAAGCTGCAACCACTGTCTTTTTATGATACACAATATATATGGGCCATTTAAACAAACTGAAGTAGAAATATGCTAATAAATATGCTTCTATTTTAATAACATGTCTCAGAGTCTTCAAACTAGTAGCAGTCCTCAAATTATAAAGTCAAAATTTTATAGTCAAAATATATCCCTGTTGTATAAAAATAGCATACAAAATTTTGATGACGAGTGTAAATACATAGCGGTCAGTGTTTCATTAAATTGCTTATCAGGAATTTGAAAGAGATCTGAATTTTAAACTGAAATGAAAAAGACGGTCTAGGAAATGGATATGTTACAGTTTCAGGATTATAAATTTAAGATGAGTGTACAAGGTGGGCTGTAGACATCTGTACATGCTGTACCTGAACATTGTCACTGCTTTCCTGGAAAGCTGTGATTATTTTGTGGTTACCTCTATCTCTGCTTTCCTGATAATCAAGTCTTTCTGATGGTGTGAATTTAAGTTAGATGTTTCTAACTTCCCTTAAAAGTCTTTGTTCTTCCCATCAGCATAGTGGTGGGATTTACAATCTTTAGGTATCTTGAGTAAGAGCAACAGTCATGAAAAGTGAAAGTGAAAGTCGCTCAGTCATGCCCAACTCTTTGCGACCCCATGGACTATAGTACATGAAATTCTTCAGGCCAGAATACTGGAGTGGGTAGACTTTCCCTTCTCCAGGGGATCTTCCCAACAGTCATAAAGGCTGATAATAACTTGTCAGCCAACAGGTGACATCAATATTTTCTTGCAAAAGTTGGAGCAGGAGGAGTCTGTGAGGTTAGGGACTATCCCTATTCTAGTCTTCCCCATACTCCCAACCCAGAGTTCTCAGCTGGAGTTTTACAATCCTTCATAGGAAATTAGCAATTTGTCACATTTCTAATGTTTACTTCAGCAAATATTTTACAGTCCCACTGATGTGGTTTTCTTGTAGATATCCATGACCTTGTGTTTTCAAATGCATTCTTTCTGGTGTAACTTTCACTAAGCTAAGCCTTTGTAAAGCAGGGCCAGATGTTGAAATATCTCCAAGATATGCATATAGTCATTTAAGCTAACATACCACTTTCTTTTGTAAGAGAACTTGAGATATGTCACGTAAGTAGGCAGTGATTTCTATTGGTTAGAATATGTAATTGAAGAAAAAATAAGTGAAAGTAAAAATCATTTTTAATCACTCATGCTAGAGTTTGATGCAAATTAGAGTGAATGAGAGGTATGATAGAGAATACGTAAATCATAGGTATAAAACCTATTTCTCTGAGTCTTGTGTTGAAACAGATAAACTGCCCACATTTTCTTATGGTCCTCTTAGATAAGTCTGGCTTAGGAGTGTTTTGGATGCTTGGAGTATCTTATGGGTCTGGTGCAGAAGAAACCTGGCAGGTTGCAGCCCACAAGGTCACAAAAGAGTTGGACACGACTTAGTGACTAAACAATGATAATGACGAGAAGCATGGAACACAGGGCCTGTAGCACACAGATATGGTGAAATTATTGCCAGAGGCAAAGATTGTATAAAGGCTGGCTTTTCATGAAAGAAAGCAGAGTGAAGTAACTTTACTAA